CAAAACGTGGAATTCAAGCACCAGCATACCAACAGACTGTCACCAGAAGTTGTTTCTATGCCGGTGCGCCCATAACACAATACACATATATTACATACATACATCGCAGCCTTTTGAGCTGCTCAGATACAGAGTTACATGATTTTACCCACAGAAAGCTTCAGTTTGTGAACCAAGCTCTTCTCGACCAAATACAAAGACCATTTTCGATCGGTCACAGTGCGCCGAGTTCACGCGTTCGATTTCAAGTTGGACGTGAGCTTCAATTCACAATCGGATGGATGAGTTTCTGCTCCCTACGCTTTCCACCGCGTCTTGGGTTGCGGAATTGCGTGAAAATTGAAAGTTTTTCTGGCGGCGTGTACGCAACAATACTCTGGGCATCCGCGCAATGCGGCCGCGTCGCGTTTTCAAAACATCGCCGTTTCGCCGGAAAATTCTATCGATTTTTGCGTAATTTTCTCATTTCCTTCGTGTCGCAGATTTTTCTAATTTGCTTCACACATCCATTTGTGTTTTTGTTCTCACTTTCCTTTCTTGACTTCTGTTACGCCACGCACCTCCAGAAACTCCGATAGCAATTTGACTCTTCTCGTTTCTTTCACAGTGCTTTCTTTGCAGTGTCTTCGAGAAACTTTCCAGTTACTCACAGCCCTTTCGTAAATTGCCTTTTTAGATAATCAAACGCGCAAGCAACAAGCAAGATGACCCGCAAGGACATCAAGGCATACGAGGTGCGAAGAGTTGTCGAAGAGTGGGACGAGCTGCGCCCCGTCGTCGAGAACCTTGTCCTCGACCAGGCCCAGATCGACGTCTTCGACGCAGGCACCAAAGCAAATTACACGAAAGACCTACAGAACAACGCAAAGAAAGTACAGACACGCATTGCCAATTTGACATTGGCCACAGAAAAGAGTAAGCATAATACAGAGTTCCAGAAAGCCATCATGGAGTTTCCCATCCAGGACCTGCTCGCCGAACTGACCCAGTACGATGAGAAGCTAGGCAATTGCCTCCAGATCAACAATGGTGGGATTCCATTCAACTTGGTCAACGAGGAAGCGGAAGAGATTCTTGCCGATCTTTCCAACCAGGGTGAAGAGCATAACAGTGGCGAAGGGAAGAAGCCGGAAGAAAATGCGGTCGACATCAAGTCCAACCAACAGGCCACTCAGGCTATTTTGGATAGCCTGACCGGGTTTGTTGGACAATACAACCAGGACCGTTCCCAAGCCGCTGCCAACCGTGCTCAGGACAAGGAAGAGTATCGTACCCAGTTCGAGACGCTGCAAGGCTCCATGAACAAGGTCAACTCACAGATATGGGATTTGGAGAAGCGCGTTCTGCACCTTGAGCATCAGGCTAAGCCTGATGATCATAACTTGAACTATCCATTCCAGACGAACGCCGCGCCCAAGTCGCTTTATGACAAACCAGTACAACCATGGGAGACCGAGAAAGCCAAGCTTACTTCCAAGCTCATCACAGCGCCTCCTCCGCCGATGGAATGGGACCCAGAAGAAGCTGCGTTTTATAAGGTTGAGGGTAACCTCAGATCAACGAAGCTTCGCGTACAACCAGAAACTTACGCTCTGAACCAACAAGAAATTGAAAAGCTCAAAGCGACCGTACAAACAGATATGCTCATCACCGCTGATGGGCTACATCTCTTTGAGCAATTCAATACAGAGGAATCACGGGAGAAACGCAAGGAATACCGCGGCGCCTACGGCGCTTTCTACAAAGGCGTCAATCTTCCCACCTTCGACGGCACCGGCGTGTTCAAGAGTTTTTGGAAACGCTACTTGGAGAAAGCCAACCAGATCTGCATTAGCGACGGTGAGAAACTCGACCTTCTCAGGACGAGTGTCTCCGGCCACCTCACCCAGACTCTCAATTCTTATGACATGTCAGCCCAAGGGTTGTATGAAGCCATCATCCAGCTCTTTCAGGCTTACAATCAGACCGCCGACCGTCAGCTAACAGCCATAGAAACTATTCTATGTTTGCCACAGATCAACGAAGACTACACGGACATGGAAGCAATCTTTGGCAAGCTTCACACTGCGGCCAAGGAATTACAAGCAGTGGACAGCAACGATGTTCGCACCAAGCTCGACATTATGAAGAAGTTCCCTAAAGCAGTCAGCGACTCATTTGAACTCAAGTACTCCAACGCTACCTCCACCAAGACCGTACTGGAACTGGTCGATCTCTTGCAGGAACACACCAGAGGCATCGCCAAACAACGTCGGGCGGAGATCATTCAGTACAAGGTCCAATCCCAGAACACCATGTGCCCATTTTGCCAAGAGAAGGGACACAGGCCCAGTCTATGCCCGAAGTTGACCGGTACTCAAGAACAGTGGGTGTGCGTCTCCAAACAGGGCAGGTGCCACGTTTGTTTGGAGAATGATCACGACAAGTCTCGTTGCAAAGCAGCCAGGTGCAATTACTGTGGCAGCGGCCATCACAGCAAATTCCACAGCATTTTCGATATCACTTCGAAAAAGGAAAATGCCGTTTCCAACAATACATTCAACCGTCGCCCTTACAGTCATTCCCAGTTCCCTGCACGCCGAGACGGTAATTCCCAGTTCCCTGCACGCCGTTCCAACCAGAATACCGGATACCAGGCTCCAAACATTCAACGCTTCAACCCGCGAGTTATTACAAACAAGCCTGCTTCGTCCAACCAAAACCAGGCCTCTCACAATTACAGAAAGCGCGAAAATCAACCCCTTGGCCCAACTAGGTCTCGACAACTACGCGACGTGCCAAAACACATGTGGCGAATTTGGATTTTGTCGAAAACAGGCCTCTCAAACTAAAGCTTTTTGGTGTGTCGCCTGCATTTCTAGACCCAGCCGATGGGAGGGGCGAGTCTGGCACTTCCCATTCTTTAAAAAGCTTTTAAAGGGACTAGGAAGGCTGGAATCGGAATTTAGCCTAACCTGTTGGCTGAGTTCCAATTTTACGTTTTTGAGGCAATCATGTACTTAAATTGCAAGCAGTATAGAAGGATAAATTCGTGCTAAGCATCTACAGCAATTCTAGCTTTCCCAGTTCCTTTAAAACCGCGAAAACGAACACTTTTCCCAGGGTTTTTATCCTAGACACTTGAAATGTATGCGCAACATCATCTTCCTCCTCCCCGGGCGCAAGTGCCTCTTTTTGACCCCCCCCCCCCGCCCACAGAAACAAACCAAAGAGCCCCGCCAAAAAGGGCACTTTTTAGCAAGCCGTCCAACCAACCAGGGTGTGCAACGAGTCCCAAGTGGCATTTTCGTGTCGGGACCCCTCTCGCCCAGTTGGCGGCCGGCCAAAAAGTGAAGAGAAAGTGAAGCTCCGGCTCCTCCGACCCCAAGTTGTGAGCAGCGCCTCAGGGACACCAAAGCACTTCCACCCCCCTTTAAACATCTTCCTCTTCTTTCGGTGGTCTTTTTGGCTTTTGTCCTTTTCGCCCGGCTTCTCCCTTCTGGCCTTTGGGTCCCGCCACGAAAACCTTATACCCAGAAGGGTCGTCATTTTTTGCCGGGCCTTATAGCCATTCTCGAGCTCCAGTTGAGACGATTTTATCGGATTTGAGGATTGTTCCGTTCTATGACGCGGTGTAGCTACCGTATGATGCAAACATCTTTTTCTACAGTAACTTAATGCGCTTTTTGGTAAGCCGGAACCAAGTACCGTAATTATAGACCCATCCGTCGCTTGCTTATAGGTTTAGAAATTTAAAGCAATTATATAATGCCGAAACTTATATTTCTTTTTAAAGGGATGGGGTCAGCAAGCATTCCGATTCGGGAAAATGTACGTTTTTGCGAAAATAATTTGCTAAGTTTGCTTTCCAGTCCATTTAAATCACAAATTTTCGATATCGCGTAAATTGTTGAGCTAGTCGTGGTTTAATAGATTCATTTTTTGATTAACAAAATTGGCCGTGTTACTGTCTCTCAAAACATGAAATCTTGGCGTAAAATCAGGGAAAAGTTTGTTTATTAGCGATTCCGGGAAAATCTTTCCCTCCGATCCCCCCAACCTCTCGCACTTGTGCTCCTTCATCTACCGTACTCTCATATATGTGCAAAAGCCAAGTTTTAGAGGCTAAGAACGGCCATTTTCGCAGAGAAAAACTCCGACTGCGAGGCGACGACTATAAAATCAACTATTCACGAGCCCCATTCACACCCACCCACCACCCACTCGATCACACGGGCCGACTTATATTTTTTTCAAGATCCGCCTTCGAGTACTATTTTTTTGAAGAAATATTCACTTGGAGAAGCTCCGCCCCTAAGCGCCGAGATCGACTGGCAAGGTGAGGTTTATTGTGATATACCGGATTAACCCAAGTTTTTCATTTGTCTGTTTTTATATCCATTTCTTATCCATTTTATTATGCAAATCATAGCGAAATCCAACCTTAAAAACGTTTTTTTGCTCTTAAATTGGGGTTAAAATACATTTTAATTGGTTTAAATAACCACGAAAATGAAGTTCTGACTTATTTGGCATAAATCTTGTTTTAGATATTATACTTATTTTCTGTTTTAGATATTTTTAAAATTTAGAAATGGTTGTATGAAAATATCCAAAAATTATATAAGTTAAAAAATTTGTTTTTATCAATGTTCAGCGATATCTAAGCGGAACGAACTTGGCTATGAGAAATGTCATGCTCCTCAAAGATTCGTTCTTGACCAGCATCTGTAGCCTTCTCGCCGTCTCAGTTCATCTCACTTACTCTCACTCTCTCTCTCTCTCTCTCTCTCTCTCTCTCTCTCTCCCCCCCCCTAGGCCTGGGCCCTAAAGCTGGCCATTCATCGAGCAAATTCCCAGTCCCCCATTTGCAAGAAACAAGCCGAGAGGCGGTTATTAATAAAGAGAGAGAGAGAGAGAGAGAGAGAGAGAGAGAGAGAGGGAGAGAGACAGCAGACGCCTAGAGATAAACAAAGAAAACCTCCTTCGACGAGAGATAACGCCATTAGATGCTGCAATCGATGTCGGCTCACTTGATGGCCGAGCCCCATCTGGTGGTGAGGCGTGGATCTTCGCGTCGAGACGCGTTGCCCGGCCCGACCCTTCTCGCCCTCCTTCAACGCCATAGTCTACAGCCACAGATTGGCATGGCCGCCCAGGAAACGTCGGCCTCGGTGCCGCACAATTTAAATAATAATGGCGGGACACCGCCGGTGGAGAATCCGATCGGATGGGCAATGTTTAACCCGTTGCCGTTGAAGCCAAAGACGTTGTTGCAGAAGAGAGGTGGGCAGGTTTTGCAGGTTTTGCGGTTCAAGGGAATTTGACTGTTTTGCGGGCTTACTGTAGTGTTACAGTACTGACGTGCACTGTACCATAGCGCTTCTCCATGTTACTGCTTCTTCGAGAAACAGCTTGTCGTTAATGCGTCTATGTTTTCCTATCGCTTCGGACGGCCCATTTTTGTGACGTGGACGTCCCATTTCTCGGCCTAAACTCTTAAAAGCGAGGTTTTCATGAAAATTGTTATATTTTAGCGTGATGTGCAAGTCTTTCTACTGGCTAGCAAATTTCCATGCTTCTACGCTTCTTCCACGCTACTTTTTTGCCAAAATACCACAAAATTCTGAGGTTAACTTCCTATTAAACCTTCAATTTTGCAGTTAAGTCAAAAGTCCATTACATTTAATTATAATATGAACTTTTCTAATTTAATTGATACCTTGAGGCATAAGTACAATCCTCACGTTTCAATTTACTTTTTTTCTGGACCATTTTCCTATTTTCTATTTTGGTCAAACCTCTGACATCGGTGATACAGCAACTTGTTTTGGCTTCCAGGCGACTGCTACCTTTCAAAATTTCCATTTCCGAAATTATTTCTTGGATTTGGCTTCCTATCCTGCCTTTTAGTCAGCTTCTCTAAATCCCATAAATCACTCGGCCCTCAATTTCAAAAAGCCCGCTGGACTGCCGCATTCTTATCCGTTCGACAACGCCGCTCCTTAGCTACCCATTTCCGAAAATAGCACATGTTAATGTTTATGTTGCTTCTCTCTCTCGCTCTCTTTCTCTCTCTCTCTCTCTCTCTCTCTCCCTCTCTCTCTCTCTGTAATTTTTGGCCGTACATAAGCCACATCCGTAGTCGCCGGTATTTTTCTGAGCGCAAAAAAGGCAATTCCCTGTTCCTTTATGCTCTCACGACGCATCTGGCTGCAATGGCCGACCCCTACCCAGAAGCCATGCATCTTTAATTCACAGCAAAATACCCATCGTGTCCCGGCTGTTTTTTTGCAAAACCTCAAGTTTTTATATACTCATATTTTAAACTATTGCTCTCGCTCTTTCTCTCTCCCTCCCTCCCGCTCTCTCTCTCGCTCTCTCTCGCTCTCTCTCTCTTTCCCCTGAACTACCTTAAGTTATCCAATGTTCCTTCTCGAACAACTGTTGCGCATCTTCGAGTTGTGGTACTCCCCGAAGGGAACGTCAGGTGGGTAATTTTCACCGTCTTTACGACCAAATGGACTATTTTTATTTTGTGACTTCCGTGTCTTTACTGCTGCACTCCCCCACACGCGTCAGTCTGGAATATTTTGAAGGGGCGCCGGTCTATGATATTTTAATCCTGAGCGATGTGGGTGCCTGGAATTATACATATAACTTCAGAACCTCGTATTTCCCACTTTTCAATATTCCAATATTCATAAAAAAGGTTAAAACCTTAATTTGTTACTGATGCTGTTATTCCCATGCCAATTGACCTTGATTTTCTGTACAAATGACGTTTTTTGGATCGCTAAAACCAAAAATAAGAAACCTGCATAAGAAATGAATTAAACGAAATTTTTAAATAGCTAAATGTTAATTTCCTTATATAAGCTTTGTTCAAAGCATAAAAATAGCGGCTGATTTCCGAAATTTCGGCTTTTTGTCGTGTGGCTTTGCCTGGGTCATCATATCCTGGGCTTTTCCCCCGATCCTCCGGAGCTCGAGTTACCGACCCCTCCCGGCTTTTCACTCATTTTTGTGCTCACTTACCGCTTTCTTAGGCCAAATTTTCGCAAGGAAGTTTAAAAAAAACTTGTTCTCTGAATTTATGTCCATTTACGTTTATCATTCATCTATATAACGCTACGATCTGATTTGACTTGTTGGCTTTATACAATTCCAATCGATATTAGAGGTTATAGAGCACCTTTTTGCACCGGAAGTCAGGTGCCCTATGCTTTAGTCCCTCTTAACCGATTTATAGCTAATTTCCACCTCGGGTTACACGGGGTTTCCGCTAGGTTCCGGGAAAAAAGTGAGCAAATTTGAGCCCCACTTTCCCATGCGTCTCCCCTGTTGCTACCCTAGCCGTATCGTTGCGGAACGGTTTTGGAATCTGGTGGCCCGCGTTCGGCGTTGGGGACCGAGAAATGAGGGTAAGAACCTATAAATTAAAAAAATTGGATTTTATGAGAAAGCGAACCCGTGTTGGTCTTTGGGATGTAGCTGAAATAACCATGGTGGCACCATCCCTTTAGCCCATGTGAAAGTGTGTCGTGATTGGTTTTGACGCAAGCACCTCTAAATCTTGATAATGGAAAAACGAAGTGTTTTCGTCAAAAGGGTTTGTCAAAAAAGTACATTCCTTCAAAATACCGCAATTGTCAGGTAGAAGCTGCTACTGTCACCATCTCTTAAATCCCGCAAGAACGACTTTTCAGGCTAAAAGTCAGGTATCTAGATCAAAATTCGTTTTTTACAATTTTGTCGATTGTCGATACCTAGCCGCAAGGAAAATTTGATGTCACTGTCCCTTTAAAACGCGTGAAAATTGCAAACATGAATTTCCCAGAAATCATAATTTTTGTGCAAGTTTAGAATCAAGCCTTCAACGTTTCGTGCTCAAATTTTGGCGGCGGACGCTTTAAAACCGGTATAACATCTTGTCCTTATACTCGAAAGTGCAAACTTTCATGTCACGCTCCCTTTAATACCCTAATTAAGTCAAAGATTTGAGCATGAGATCGTGCACAAAAGCCCAAGTAGCCTTCACCTTTTCTTTAAAATTCCCTATAACCAAAAACGCTAAACGCGAGGTAATGCGATAACTTTGCCTAAAATATGCGCCCCGGCTTGGGTCATTTTTCGCAAAGTGGGGGACGCAGTTTTTCGGCTCGGGTGTGGTAGGCTAGCCGTTCCGTTCTTTTCTCCTTCCATGCCTAAAGGGCCCACCCTCGATTTCTCCCTTTTTAATGGGCCAAAGTGGACAAATGGACGCCTCCAGGCGCTTCAATGGGGGTGGCCGCCCAAGGGGAGCCTGAGGTTGAGCTAGATTTCCGGAAATTTGGCAGGGCGTGAGTACGCTTGTTAGCCGCGACGGCTCGGTTTGAGGGTTTTATTGGATTCAGATATCGTAATTTTTCTATAAATTCGTGAATTTGCATGATTCTATCGTATCATCGTACTCGAAGTAGTTCAAAAAATCTTTTTATAGCCTTTAAAATAAAGAAATATATGTGACTTTAATCCTTCTGAATTAGCCGTTTCGAAATTTGGATAATTTTTTCGCCAATTTTTCCGGAAAAGCGTAGAAACAATTTGGCGAATTTTTAAAGGGATAGCGACAGACCAGAAAAATTGTTAGAAGGGCCTGCCTAATGTAGCTCTTACAAGGGAAGTGCATGACCGGCCCACGGGAAATCGAAACGAGACATAGTGGATTTGATAGAGTCAAACACGGGGATTTCGAATCTGTAATCATAATTTGCTAAACGAAACGGAGAAAAAAGTTATGAAGCTTCAAAGTTGGTAAAATCGCCCAAAATCGGACTTTTATGGGCCTGTAAGGGTCCGGAGAATGGAAATTTCCCAAAACCCATTACTGTATCTTGTTCAGCAGAAAACGTTCTTTCAAATGAGCTATGACACAAAAAATTTACGATGATTTACCGGAAATCTCTTTGATGACCCTTGCGCGTGAATTCAAAAAATGTTTTTTGATGAATTATTTGCAAATGGTACGTATTATAGCTCATTTGAAAGAACGTTTTCTGCTGAACAAGATACAGTAATGGGTTTTGGGAAATTTCCATTCTCCGGACCCTTACAGGCCCATAAAAGTCCGATTTTGGGCGATTTTACCAACTTTGAAGCTTCATAACTTTTTTCTCCGTTTCGTTTAGCAAATTATGATTACAGATTCGAAATCCCCGTGTTTGACTCTATCAAATCCACTATGTCTCGTTTCGATTTCCCGTGGGCCGGTCATGCACTTCCCTTGTTAGCGTAGCTTTTTTAAATTCATACTTTAAAGACGACATAGCTTTTTAAAATTCATACTTTAAAGTTTAAGCGAACCGCGGGCTTTCCCTCTCTCTAAGTGTCGCTGTCCCTTTAAAAACAAACCGGGCTTTTTTTGAATCCGAGGCCCCTAGGCTACGCGTGCCACCTTTTTACACCTCCCAAACCCACTGCCGTTTTGAGTAATTTTCCGTAATTTCCCAGCCCTCACACCCCCAAAATGTTGCCTTTTCAACGACTACCTACTTGCAAACGAGTTGAAAAGCTGAATTTTTTGAAAGGCTTTCTGCTTTTCCGTCTTGCCGTCTGCCTACCTCCGCCTACCCACTTCCAGAATAGACGGCACCCCAGGTGGCACCTCTCGTTGTGCATAGGATAATTGAGGCCAGGCCACAAACCTAGCACCCGTGATTTTTGGCCGTTGCTTGGCCAAGTTTTAGGCTTAAAACACACGTTTTGTATATTTGATATCTTAAAGCTTTTGGTTACTTCAAAAGACGACCTTTTTTTGAATGCTAGTAATTTTATGATCGTAAAAAGCATTGTAGCGTAAGTTCAGCTGACGAAAAGCTGCTCAAAATTTTACGCATTGGATATTATCATATTCTGCGCTTAGGTGTCCCATAGATACTGGTCGCGTCGCGTCGCGTAGTTGTTCCCAAAAGCTTGATGTCGAGGTTGGCCGTTCCTGATGTCAGTAGTAGATTTTGCAAACGTCTTTTCGAACGTCCCCATGTAATGGCTCTGAGTTCGATTTTTTCTGGAAATTATAAACGTTTTTCGCTTGTTATAACGCTGCTATTTTTAACTTATAACGTTTGCGTAGTAGATCTTGAGAAGTGCTATTTTTGGGTTACCTGTCGTGAAAAAACTTTTTCGAGTTTAATTGGAGCATAAAAACTAGTATACGCCTTCGTTAATGGATATGAGTCCCTTGTCCAGCAAAGAAACACTTTATCTGTTGCATTTTTAACCTTGTTACTTGCAAGTATGACGCAAACGTAATTTAGAAACCTGGCCATACGGCCATGATGCGAATCAAAAGGTACTAAGACGTCGTGCGTTAATAGACAATCGCCCGTAGTCGCAAAAGATTCTACGTTTTTTTTTTTCTGGGCGTCGATAGGTAGCCGCGCGTAGTTAGAAGAAAAATCGAAACCGGCTCCGTAAAAATCAAAATCTATTCATCTTTGGCGCTTGTGCTTTTAAAAAGCTCAACTACTCGTTCTCCACCACTACCCGCCGCCCCGT